AGCGGTGCGTCCCCATGGCACGTCCCCCAGCACGTCGCTTGGCGCGTCCCTTGGGACGATCCGCGGCGCGTCCTCCTAGCATGTCCCCCTGTCAATTAGCTCTGGGGCAGCTACTATGTGCTCAGGCAGCTCGAGCTTAAGATCCAGATCAGTTCGGTCAGGACTCGGATGTCAAGGAGGACTCGATCCACAACGCTATAGAGCACAATTGCGGCATGGCACATCGCAATCCAGCACGGCACAGCACAGCACAGCCTTCGGCATTGCACATCAAGATCGGTACATTCAGCATTGCAACCTGGCATGTTCCCTGGCGCGTTCGCGTCCCGTGGCGTTTCCCCTTGGCACGTCGCGCGGCGCGGCCACTGGCACGTCCCGTGGCACGTCCATTGGCACGTCCCGTAGCGCGTCCCCTCGGCACGTCCCTGCGATGCGTCCCCATGGCACGTCCCCCAGCACGTCGCCTGGCGCGACCCTTGGGACGTTCCGCGGCGCTTCTTCCTAGCATGTCCCCCTGTCAGTTAGCTCTGGGGCAGCTACTATGTGCTCAGGTAGCTCGAGCTTAAGATCCAGATCAGTTCGGTCAGGACTCGGATGCAAAGGAGGACTCGATCCACAACGAGATAGGGCACAACGTCGGCATGGCACATCGCAATTCAGCACGGTGCAGCACAGCACAGCATTCAGCATTGCATTTGCCCGTCGCCCAATCAGGTGTCGTTGAAGCGTTGCCATGTCTTGCATTTCTATATTCCGTTCCGGGTTCGTGGGTCGATCATGTTGATTATGTTTGAGCATTTTTCCCGGAACGGGCTGAGGCCCAGGGTTCTCTTTTAGTAAGTTCCCCCCCCTTCTTCACTTGAAGGAGGCCGGCGGAAATTTGCCGTAAATGACGAGGTCGAAGAGGGCCGGCGCATGCTTGAGGATGATTCGAGCGAAACGCTTGTTTTTCAGAATTGATTGAGGATGTCTCGAGCGAGACGTTGGTTTTGCAGAGTTGGGGGATATCTCGAGCGGGGGCCTCGTGGGGGGCCAGAATTCAGAGGATGTCTCAGGCGGAATGCTTGTTTTCACGTGCCCAGGTCGGCCAGGGGGGTATCCAGCATGGTTGTCCGTCGCTGGCGCCCCAGACGACCTCATGTTGGATATCCTCCCTGGGTGGGTGGAACCGTGAGTTTTTACGTGTGCAAGCCATCAGGGGGGTATCTAATATAGTGGTCCCGAGCTGGAATCACGTGTTTCCACGTGTCCAGCCCACCCAGAGGGGTATCTAAAATGGTGGTCCCGAGCTGGCACCACGTGTTTCTACGTGTTCAGGCCACCCAGGTGGGTATCTAACATGGTGGTACTGCGCTGGAACCGTGTGTTGTCAAGTGTCCAGGTCAACTAGGGGGGGTATCTAACATGGTGGTCCTGTGTTGGAGCCTCGTGTTTTTACATGTCCAGGCCACCCAGGGGGGGCATCTGACATGATTGTCCCGAGCTGGAACCACGTGTTTTTACGTGTCCAGGCCGCCCAAGGGCGATATCCAACATGGCGTCGGGCCCAACGCCGAATTATCAGGAAACGCACGGGGGGCCGAAAGGCGCTAATTGAACACATATCCCAATACAGTGAAGTCATGTTTTCTTGCTCTGTACAGGGGGTGGCGCTTTGGGGGCCTCTCCAGGGAAGACATTGCGAGGATGTCTCGAGCGGGGGCGCGAATTCAGCGTATCCAGGTCACGCAGGGGGGTATCTAACATGGTTGTCCCGAGCTGGAACCACATGTTTTAACATGTCCAGGCCATCCATGGGGATATCTAACACGATTGTCCCGAGCTGGAACCATGTGTTTTAACATGTCCAGGCCATCCATGGGGATATCTAACATGGTTGTCCCGAACTGGAACCATGTGTTTTGTTATGTGTGCAGGCCACCCAGGGGGGCATCTAACATGGTTGTCCCGAGCACGGACCACGTGTTTTCAGGTGTCTTGGCCACCCAGGGGGGGATCTAACATGATTGCCCCGAGCTGACATTAACATTTTTACATGTCCAGGCCACGCAGGGGGGGGTATCTAACGGCTGTCCCGGGCAAGGACCACGTGTTTTAATGTGTCCAGGCCATCCGGGGGGATATCTAACATGGTTGTCCCGAGCTGGAGCCACGTGTTTTTACGAGTCCAGGCCAGCCGAGGGGGACATCTATCATGGTTGTCCCGAGTTGGCACCACGTGTTCTTATTTGTCCAGGCCACCCAGGGGGGGTATCTAACATGATTGTCCCGAGCAAGGACCACGTGATTCAACGTGCCCTGGCCACTCAGGGGTGCATCTAACATGGTTAACCCGAGCTGGCACCACATGTTTTTACGTGTCCTGGCCACCCAGGGGGGGCATCTAGCATGGCTGTCCCGGGCACGAAGCATGTGTTTTCACGTGTCCAGGCCACCCAGGGGGGGTATCTAACACGATTGTCCCGAGCTGGCATGCTCAGTTGTTTCGTGTCCTGGCCACCAGGGAGGCGCATCGAACGACTGTCCCGAGCAAGGACCACGTGTTTTAACGTGTCAAGGCCAGCCAGGGGGGATCTCTATCATGGTTGCCCAGAGTTGGACCCACGTGTTTTTATGTGTCCAGGCCACCCAGGTGGGGTATCTAACATGATTGTCCCGAGCTGGAACCACGTGTTTTTTACGTGTCCAGGCCGCCCAAGGGCGATATCTAACATGGCGTCGGACCCAACGCCGAATTATCAGGGAGCGCACCGGGAGGCCTAACAGCGCTAATTGAACACATATCCCAATACAGCAAAGTAACGTTTCCTTGCTCTGTGCAGGGGATGATGTGTTGGTGGCCTCTCCAGGGAAGACATTGCGAGGATGTCTCGAGCAGGAGCGCGAATTCAGCGTATCCAGGCCACGCAGGGGGGTATCTAACATGATTGTCCCAAGCTGGAACCACGTGTTTTTACATATCCAGGCCACCCAGGCGGATATCCAACACGGTTGTCCCGAGCTGGAACCATGTGTTTTTACGTGTCCAGGTCACCCAGGGGGGGTATCTATCATGGTTGCCCCGAGTTGGCACCACGTGTTTTACATGTCCAGGCCACCCAGGAGGGGCATCTAACATGGTTGCCCCGAGCTTGAAACACGTGTTTTTACTTGTCTTGGCCATCCAGAGGGGGCATCTAACATGATTGCCCCGAGCAAAGACCACGTGTTTTAGCGTGTCCAGGCCACCAAGGGGTGTATCTTACATGGTTGTCCCGAGCTGGCACCCACCTTTTCACGTGTCCAGGCCACCCAGGGGTGTCTATAAAATGATAATCCCTAATTGGAACCACCTGTTTTAGGTGTCCAGGCCGCCCATGGAGGCATTTAACATGGCGGAATCAAGTGCTTTAACGTGTCCAGGCCACCTAGGGGGGGGTATCTAACATGGGCCTCCTGGGGCCTTCCTGGGAGCCTGGAACGGACGTCTAACATAAAGATCTGTTGAGGATGTCTCGAGGGAACCACTTGTTTTCACGTGTCCAGTTCGCCCAGGCGACTGTCTAGCATGAGGTGGCACGTCCATTGGCACGTTTCGTAGCGCGTCCCCTTGGCACGTCCTGCGGTGCGTCCCCATGGCACGTCCCTTGACACGTCGCCTGGCGCGTCCCTTGGGACGTTCCGCGGCGCGTCCTCCTGGCATGTCCCCCTGTCAATTGGCTCTGGGGCAGCTACTATGCTCAGGCAGCGAGCTTACGATCCAGATCAGTTCGGTCAGGACTCGGATGCAAAGGAGGACTCGATCCACAATGTATAGAGCACAATCGCGGCGTGGCACATCGCAATTCAGCACGGCGCAGCACAGCACAGCCCTCGGCACGGTACATCAATATCGATACAGTCAGCATTGTGTTTGCCCGTCGCCCAATCAGGTGTCTCTGAAACGTTGCCATGCCTTACATTTCTGTATTCCTTTCCGGGTTCGTGGGTCGATCATGTTGGAGTATGTTTTGACTATTTTCATTTTTCGCCCAAAATCCGCCTGTAGGGGGGACATGCCCGACCCATCTATAGGGCTCGTCACCCGATCGGGCCCGGGCATGGTGAAAGAGCGACACGCAGCTGAAGATCAGCCCAGGTGATGGGGTCGAGGGCTCCACGGGCGCACAGCGTCGGAGGTGTTCGGAGTCAGGCAGCCCTCGGCGAAGCGGAGATCCCCTCCCGGAGCGTTCTCAGGGTGTTTTTGAGCTCTCCAGGACGGCTGTGGCACCGAGCACGTCTTCCGCCGGCTGCGACGGCTATCGCCGAGGAGGACGAGGAGGAGGAAAAACGCTTCAATCTTAGGGCTAACGTCCGCTCAACGTCACAAGGAGGAGGAGGAGGAGGAGGAAGCGGAGGAGCAGGATGAGGAGGAGGAGGAGGAGGAGGAGCAGGAGAAGGCGTCACAGTCTTAGGATCAAGTTCCGCTCAACGTCAAAACCAGGAGGAGGAGGAGGACGAAATTCCGCTCAACGTCGAAATGAGGAGGAGGAGGAGGAGGAGGACGGGGGAGGGAGGAGGCGCCCCAGCACAAATAGGCAAACAGGGGGGGGGGGAAGCATGGGCAGGCGCAGGGGGCGGGGGGCAAAGTCGCCAGCACATGGCCGAGGGGGAGCGTTGGTGCCACGGTGCCCAGGAGCCGGTCGTTTCGCCCTCGGGGTTTCCTCGGCGGCGCGCCAGCGATCGGCCGTCGAGCCCTGGTCGTCGCTTGCCCCCAGTGTCCCTCTTCCCCCTGCCCCGTTTTCCTCTGCCTCTGCCCCCATCCTTCCTCTGCCTCCTCCTGCTCCTTCTCTGCCTCCACCCGCCTCCCTTTGCCTCCTCCTCTGCTCCTCCTGCGCTACTGCTGCCTCCTGCCTTCTCACATGCCTCCTGCTCGTGCCTCCTGCTCTTCCTGCCTCATGCCCATGCGTGTTCCCTGCCGCCCCCTGCCTCCTCGTGGCCCTGTTCCCAACTGCCTTCGGCCCCCCCCCTGCATCCTGCAGGACCAGCAGCGGCGACAGCCTGCCGGAACGGCAGCGCAGTTTCACCACCGTGTTCGATGCGGGTCTGCCGGGCTGCGCGACAGGAGGGGGAGGAGAGAGGGTGCCCGCATCCCTCTTGGAGAGGAGGGAGAGAGAGAGAGGGGCATAGGAGGGGGAGGTAGGAAGATAGGGAGGGTGGGGAGGAGGATGAGGGAAAGTGAATCTGATTATCGTGTGTGGAAAAGAAGAAGCAGAAAGAGGAGTGGAGGAGAAGGGGGGTGCAGCAGCAAGAGGATGAGGGAGATGGCGGGAGTCGATACAACATCCGTGAGGGGAGGGAAGCCTCTTGTAGGGTGAACGTAAGACTCGAGTACGCCGGAAGTTGGGTTTGCCGACGCGTTTAGAGCATCCTGGATTTTAACGGTTCAGTTGTCGTGGGATTTTTGCAGCGGGAGTTCGCGCCAAATTTCACACTGAGTCGCGTCATTTTCATGTTCATGATAGCCTGGCCGGTCCGTCCCGAGTCCTCCTAACCAAAGCCTTATGTCTCCATTATCTTTCGAGGGGGAAATGAGGGCAGGGCGTAGTCTTGGAGAAGGGGATTCAGGACGGCAGTTCATGTTGAGTACAGCAACGGGAACTGAACAGGTGTATGGACACATGTGGAGGGACGGACAGATCTGGAAGAGAGGGGGTATGCCTATCTATGTATACATATATATATGTGTATGTACATATAGATGTGTATAAATACACATGTATGGTGGCCTTCCTCCCATCTCGCCACCGTGCCTGGGCTATGGGTATGAAGCTCATTGGATGTTCGTTGGGATCTCGTGGAAGGCCTCTGCGTGGCCTCTTGGAAGCAGTTTGGACGCCTCTCGGGGTTCTCTTGTGGGCCTCTTGGGGCATCTTTTGGGCGTCGTGAGGGCCTCGTGGGGCCTCTTGGGTGCCTCTTGCGGCCTCTTGGGGCCTCTTGGGGGCCTCTTGTGGCCCTCGCGGAGCCTTCTCGGCGCCTCTTGAGGCCTCCTGGGGGGCCCTTGGGGCGGAAGGCTCGGACTTTCGCTTCGTGCTCCCTCTCTCGGGCCCCTCTTGCGGCCGCCTGGGGGCGCTCTTGGGCGGTTCCGGGGCGCCTCTTTGGGCTGTCTTGGGGCCCTCTTGGGGCCGCTCTGGGGCGCACCGTGCCCCCCCGCCGGGCCCCAAACGGAGGGAGAGGCGCCAGGATCGACGCAGTCAAGACAATTCGCCCGAGACTCCCGGCATCCGCTGGCGGGAGACAGATCCGTGTCGACACGGCCTCGCGGTCCGGACCCCCCTCCGCCGCGACCCCACGGCCACGGGGCGGCGCGGCGCGGGTGCCGCGCGCGGCGCCTGCCCATGGGGCCGCGTGCCTGCGAGATCGCGCCCGGGCATGCCGGCCGCGGTGGTCACAAGGGGGTTCGCCTCGGAGGAGGGCGGAGGAGGGGGAGGAGGAGGAGGAGGAGGAGGAGGAGGAGGAGGAGGAGGAGGAGGAGGAGGAGGAGGAGGAGGAGGAGGGGGAGGAGGGGCCACTTTGGGCTCAGGAGGGAACTGCACGCCGAAGCGAGAGCCGCGTTGGCCTCGAGGGGGCGCTCTGGCTCCCGGGCGGCTCCCCGCGGCGCCGTCGGAGGACCGAGAGTCGCGGCCGAGGCCGCGAGGCGGGCCGTGGCCAGGAGAGCCCCTTCTGTGCTCTCTTCGGCGCTCCTTGTTCGAGCAGGGGGGCGTAAGACCCCTAGGGCCCCCCTAGGGGGCCCCCCTAGGGGGGAAGCGAGGATCATGCGGCGGTCTCGCGTCGGGACGCCCCCAGCGCTGCTTCGTGACACCGCGCGGATCGCTCAACCTTGAACGATCGGCGGCTTCTCGCTTCTGGATTGGGCCGATCCTGGGGTTCGTCGTCGAGCTCTTCGTCGTCGGTGCGTCCCTTCTTCCTTAAATCTGGACGCCCGAAATGGGTACCGAAAGAATGGGTACTATGCCCAACAGCAGTTCCTGTTCATTTTGAACAGGACTCGCTGTCCGCGCCGCCGCGGCCTGTGTCCATTTGAAACAGGAGGCCGCCTGCCCAACAGCGGCCGCTGTTGGTTCGGGCCAACATTTGTTGTTCGGGGGCGTAAGACCCGGGTACAGGGGACTCGGAAATCCCCGACGAGGTCGTCAAACAAATGACGAGGCCGAGCCTGCATTTTGACGAGGCCTCCCGCTGCAGACATCCCACGAAACTCCTACTCGTCTAAATCCGAGTCGCGGTCGTCAAAAAACGATGGCGAACCCGAGTCCTGGCAAACCCAGGTCTTACGCTCCCCCGATTCGAGCAGGGGTTCGTCGTCGAGCTCTTCGTCGTCGGTGCGTCCCTTCTTCCTTACAACGACACGACGATCGGGACAAGATCGGATCGGGATTATTCGAAGTCTCTGAGAATCGGCGGGTTCGGAGGATGGATTGGGCGCCGCGGCCGCTCCAGAGCGTTCCCTCACGCTCTGAGAGCGCTCCGGAACGCTCTGGAGCGATTTATCCCGATCCTAGCCCTGTTTTATTTAATCGCTTCGCTCATGCCGCCGGCCCTGGAGCCCTCTTTAGGGCCTCTTGGGGGCCTCTTGGGGGCCTCTTGGGAGTCTCTTGGGGCTCCTTGGCGGCGTTTTGGAGGCCCCCAGGGCCTCTTGGGGGGCTCTTGGGGGTAGTCGATTGCGGCTCCCCCCTCGGAGGCCACGATCCTCGTGAGGGGTGTCGAAAAATACCCTCCCCTGGAGTGGTCTGGTGGCTTCTCCCGGGCTTCTCTCGGGACCTTGCCGGGGTACTTTTCGTCCGGGGGCCCCCAGGGGCCGCTCCGCGCGCGCGAACTAGAAATATTGTTAACAAGTTACCGGAGATCTTAGCACGCCTCTGGCCCGTTGGGCTGGCGAATTCCTCTCGGCCGTCCCAGCACGGCAGGATTGCAAGAGTTTCCCTGCTGGGTCCTCAGGGCGCAGTAACAGGCAGATCGTTGGAGTTGTAAGCTGGTCACAGAGACCAGGAGTGGCCCAGGCTTCTCACGAGGTGACGATCTGACTGGATGCCCCCAGAGCTCGATTCGATTCGATTCTCGGCCGTCCGCCCCCCCTCTCTTTGCCCGCCAGCCAATTCGCTGGCTGGTGCCCCTTTCTAGCTTCTCGCCGGAGCGGAGTTCGCCGCCTCGCCGCCGACGAAAGATGTTCGAGTAGAAGATCGACCACTGAATTCATTTGCCCCCAACCTTGTGTCCTCTTCGAGTGTACAAAACGTGTACTTTCATTAATTCGACGAAGGGATCCATTCGGGAGCAAATCAGTTATGTAGTCGATCCCCTGCTCGACTTGTGGAAGGTAGCGCGATGGCAACAATGAAGCAGAAGCAACTGCACAAGCATAAAACTGGGGGAGGTCCGCGCGCAGTTCTTGGACCTGCGCTGGACCCCACCAGCGTCTCTGCCGCCGCCCCTGGCGCGCCCCGCGCGCCAGGCAGGGGGGGGGGGGGGGCCTCAGCGCAGACCCATGAAATCCGTGTGGACCTCCAAAAGCTCAGAGCGTGAATTACCTACCCCGCTTTCGCTTCCAGGCAAAACCAAGTCGTACCATACGCCTCCTCGTCAAGCGGCCTGACCAGTACATGCCGTAGTTTGGCATCGCTTGGTACCTCTTGGAAGCGAGGGTGGTCAAAAGCGAGGTAGGTTTGTTCGCCCCCTAAAAGCTTACGGTAGGTTTGCGTCGTGTCGACCAGCGGCGACCCCAGCGCGGGCGTTCAAGGTTGAACGCCGCCGGCGACCCAGAATCGATCGATGTTGAACGATCGGACGTTGCGGCAGCGGCCGATCGTCCAAGGTTGAACGATCCCCGCGGTGGCAGAAACCATCGCTGGGGTCGGCACGACACGAACCTGCCGTGCTCATGCTGATTTTCCTCCGTCGCCTGCACGCCCGCTTCCCGGCGTCCTTCCCCTCCCCCGCCTCCCGCCCAGCTCGGGCGTGCCCGAGCCCGGCCCCGCGGGAGCGCGCGTGCGGACCGCCTCTGCCGCGCCGCGACGTAAAGATTTACGGTAGGTTCGCGTCGTGTCGACTCGCGGCGACCCCAGCGCGGGCGTTCAAGGTTGAACGCCGCCGGCGACCCAGAATCGATAGATGTTGAACGATTGGACGTTGCGGAGACGGCCGATCGTTCAAGGTTGAACGATCCCTGCGGTGTCAAAAACCAACACCAGGGTCGTCACGACACGATCCCGCCGTATGCACCCTAGGCGATGCTCAAGAAAACTGGAGTTTTCGGCCAGAGTCTCGGTCATTCTTACTGCTTCAATGAAAATCCTAAGGTTTCGAGGGGAATTCTGGTGTTTGATTCAGATTCTGGGACTATGAATTTCTGAACCCATGATTTCTCAAGCATCTCGCAGGGTGTACGCCTTCGCCGTCGCGCGCGGGGCCGCCGGGTTGCATCGCCCCAGGTCGGCCCGACCCCGGGGACCCGCTGCCCAACGGCCTCCGCGTGCCGAATCGGCAGGAGGTGGCCATGCGGCTGGTGGCCGCCGAGGCCGGGGCCGATCGGTGTCGCTCCTCCTGCCTTCCCTCCTGGATCCTCCTCGATCCTCTTTGATGCTCGATCCTCCTCGGTCCCCTTGGATCCTCGATCGTCGCTCCTCCTCCTCCTCCTCCTCCTCCTCCTCCTCCTCCTCCTCCTCCTCCTCTCTCCTCCTCCTCCTCCTCCTCCTCCTCTCCTCCTCTCCTCCTCCTCCTCCTCCTCCTCCTCCTCCTCTCGGACGCTCCAACCTCCTCCTCCTCCTCCTCCTCCTCCTCCTCCTCCTCCTCTTGCTCTGGCTACGCTCGAGTTCTGAGATGGGTACGGGGAACGTCTAGGCCTCCCAGATGGGGTCCGAGCAGATGGGGTCGGAGGATCGCGCCGCACCGCCGATACATCGGCGATACGCCGCAATGCAGGGCTCGGTTTTTTTCAACGCCGTCGGTTCCACAGTGATGCATCGGCGATAAAGCGTGACCCTCCGACCCTATCTACTCAGACCCGACTTGGGAGGCCTTCGAACAATGGGGACCAAGACCAACAGCAGGTCCTGCCCATTTTGAGCAGGACTCGCTGTCGGCGTCGCCGCGGGCGCTGTCCATATGAGACTGAGAATCGCATGCCGAACAGCTGCCGCTGTCGGCTTTGGACGACATTCTCTGTTGAGCATCGTACCAGTTGTTCCGTACGCAGTTCTGGCGTTCACATCATCTTTTTCTTCTTCTTGCTCTTGACGTCCCAGCAGTGCAAAAATGGCACCAAGACCTTTGAATGTTACAGTCGACGCTGGTAGTAAGGATGAGCGACTTTCCAAGGGTACCCTTGCATCCTTGCCTCTTCAGCCCATCCTTTGCCACTTTCGTTGGCCGCGCCCTGCTCGAAAAGTGTCGGCATGGCCTTCCAAGGCCCTTGTACGCTTATCGCGCATCCTTACTACCAGTTTGGATTGCAACTGTAGTCGAGCTATTGAGCAGTGTTGATGGACGTATAAATCTGGAGGACTGCTTCTTCAGCACTCTGGGCAGGTCATGGTATTCCTTCCCCTCGCTCGCCTTCTCCTCCCTCGCCTCCTCCTGTCATCATCACCATCGTCACCACCGTCGCCGTCGCCCTCCGTCATCGTTACCGCCGCCATCACGCTCCCTGGGGCCACGTAGGACCCGCCTTCGACCAGGTGCACTGATGGGGCCCACATCGCGGGCTCACGTGCCGGGGGGCAGGGCTGGTGCGAAGGAGTTGGAGAGGTTGCGCCAGAATCTGTTTCCATGGAGGCTGTGGCTGCGCAACGACAGAGGAATCGGCACAGACACACGGGTAGCGGTCTGTATGTGGAAGCCCTTGCAGACGGAACGGAATAAATGCCCTTGGACAGTGAAGCGCACGATTGTGGAACGGGTGGGACCAGTCTCTTGGTGGAGCCGATGGGGACGACGAGGCTTTTTAGCTTCGTCACAGAGTTGAGCAGTTGCATTGAGGCCGCAATTGTAGGCAGGTGAAGGCAGATTGCCGCATCTGCTTGAGTTTTCTGTTGAAGCACAGTGCAGCACACAAGGAAGCGCTTTGAATGTCAGCTTGAACCAGGCGGGAAGCACAGAAAAAATCCACTCGCTCCTCCCCCGCCATCCACCTTCCCACTCCCTCGAATGACTCCACAGGTCCTCATCATCCTCTCCTCCTCTTGGTTTCTCCTTGCTCTCCAGAACGGTGGTGGGGCGGATCGGCGGGAACGGGATCGCGAGGGTAGAAGAACGTGGGCATGCCGTACAAAAAGAGTGCGGCCGAAGATTGAATTTCAGACGGCTTGATCGTACCAGAGGTTGTCTTGCAAGCAGGCGGACTGTAGAAGGGAGACAAAAAGGGTGGAGCCTCCTCCTCCCTTCCTCCATCCCTCCCTCCCTCCCTCCCTCCCTCCCTTCAACCCTCCCTCCCTCCCTCCTCCTCCCGCATCGGGAGGTTGAGAACAGATGCGGAGCGAGGAGGTACGAGGAGAAAGCCTATGAGAGTGAATGAGGGGCAGGGAACAGGATGGGGAGGAGGAGGACGGGGAGGGGCAAATACGGAGCCACATTGCGGACTCAGAGGTGGGAGGAGCCGCCGGCTATAATGTTGGATGCTTCGGTGGAGGAGCAGCACCAGAGCGCTGAATGGTCAGGAGGAGCGTGCGCAGGATGCGGGTGATGGGCAGGAGCAGGAGTGGTCGCAGGAGGCAAGGGCTCCCATGGTGGCGCGACGTTGCCCGCGTCCTTTTCCCTCGTCCTCGTCCTCGTCCTTCGTCCTCGTCCTTTTCCCTTCGTCCTCGTCCCTCGTCCTCGTCCTCGTCCTTCGGCCCGTTCCGGTTCGCAGGCTGGGCCTTTCCCCTCGTCCTCGTCCTTCGTCCTCTCCCCGCGCCCTCCCGGGCGTCCCCGGAGGGACGCGGCGCGAGAGAGCGCCAGGTCGGAGCGCGCAGAGGGGAGCCTTCGATCCTCCTCCTCCTCCTCCTCCTCCTCCTCCTCCTCCTCCTCCTCCTCCTCCTCCTCCTCCTCCTCCTCCTCCTCCTCCTCCTCCTCCTCCTCCTCCGCTTCCTCCTCGGAGGAGGAGGAAACCGGAGCGGAGGGATGATGCCGGGTGTCTGCTCGGGTGGAACGGGTGAGGGCGGTGATGTTGGTGGTGGCGGTGGTCATGGTGATGGTGGTTGTCCTCCCCTCTCCGTTCGACAGACGGATGCACCGAGCGCGTTCCACTTCTCGCAATCAAGTGCCTATTCGCAAACGTCTGAACAAAAACAGGTATTCCTCGATGTCATGACACGTAAATCCCCCGCGGTGGATCCAGGCCATTTGCGAGTAGTTACTTTGCGAGCAGTGGAACGATCTTGTCCATAGACGATCCGCTCAAGTTCGGCCCCCGAGTCCTCCAGTGTCCATCTTGGCAACGTCTTCGTTCCGAAGCGATGCTCGACGGCCACGCAGCCCGAAGCGGGGGCCCCTAGAGGCCGAGGCCAAACGAACCAAAAATATGGGGGTTGATGTTTGTCCAGAGCCTTTCTGACGTACAGTCGGACCGAGGTTTCAGATCGAGGTCGGTTCGAGGAGGGCACCCTGTTGTTGTTCGTGTTTGTTGGGCGTTCTTGTGTATCATGGGGAGGGTACCCTTGGACTTGGATGTTCTCTGTGTGTGTGTTGGCCGCCGGAAGGTCTCATGTTCTTGAGGGATGTTCTTCTGGCCAAGGTCAGGCTGTACGCTCGCGCCGCGTTGGCGCGGCGGCGACCCCCAGCGCAGGTGCTCGAAGCTGACGGCCGCCATGGGCCCAGAATCGGGCGCCTTTCATCGGGTATAGCCAGGACCCCAGGTATGTGGACCCGGTTAGTAGTAGGGCCCCGCTTCCCTAAATTGGCCAGAATCACTAAACCACGTTTGCCGTAGCTGGTGTTTTTTCGGGTGACGGCAGTTCCGGTTACTGGAACGGGGTGGGGGGGGGGGTGGCATCCCCCAGTACACATCATTAAACCAGGTCCCACTAAACCCAGTTCTGCCAACGTCCGGTTCCAGTGCGCCGCGCCGTCAGAAATTCGTGATCGCCTGAGGCGTGAAGGATCCACGCGGTGTTCGAAGGAGCGCCGAAGTCACGACAGGAACTTGCAGTATGCTGGCGATGACGGTGGTGGTGGTGATGGAGATGGAGAGAAGGACGGGTGCGAGCAGTCATTAGCAGCAGCAGCAGCAGCTGCCCCGAATCCTGGCGGAGCCTGAGGCTGCGGCGAGCCCCAGGCAGCCGACGCTGTTCGACACCCCGGTCCACCTCCACCAGCTCCTCATCCTCGCCCTCCTCCCCTCCAGGCCGCCCAGGTTGGGCCGGAGTAGATGGGGTTGAAGGATCGCACTGCATCGCAGATGTGTCCACGTATCCGCGATGCGGCGCGCTCCAGGAGCCAGATCGTTGTACGCCTACGTCGCCGATGCAGCGGCGATGGGACGCGATCACCCCATCTACGCACCCCGGCTGCATTCAGGCGGCCTCCGTCCTCGCCCTCCCCGGGCAGCCATCAGGAAGGAGAGGGGTCCCAGAGGAGAGGGGGCGCCATTGTGGGCAGCGTTCAGGAGCTTCGGTCGCCTGGGGCCCTCCCTGGACTCCCAGACGGTCCCCGGTTGGCCGGGGCAGCAAGCCCTCGGGGGTCCAGGGTTGGGTCCACCAAGGCCCTTCCATGCCAGAGGGAGGGAAGAGGAGAGGAGGTTGCGCTGCGGATCAGCAAATTTTCAGAGCATGATGAACAAACGAATTGATCGTTGCGCGCTGAAGCGAGAGCTCAATTTTCAAAACGGCCCGCCCTCCATCCTTGTAGGCGTCGAGTGTAAGCTTCAGGGTCATACTTTGAAGAAGGTCTCAGGCGAAACGCCTGGCCCACCCGACCGACACTCATACTTCGGGTGGTTTGAAGAGGAGGAATTATCGTGAAGGAAAGGGGATGGAGGAGGAGGAGGAAGACGAGGAGGAGGGGGACGGGGGAGGTGGGGGGAACGACGACGACGACGACGACGACGACGACAATGACGATGACGACGACGACGACGACGACGAGCAGGGGGATGAGGAGCAGGTGGCTGGAGGGGGGTGAAGGTCGTCTTCGTCGTCGTAGCTGCTCCCCCGTCCTTGTCCCGCGCGTCCTCCCTGGTCCCAGCTGCCCATCCTTCCCAGCCGAACTATTCCCCTTCACAGCTCGATTCATTGCTGCGCATGTTCTTAGCGAGACCATCTTCGATAACTCATCATCGTCGTCATCATCATCGTCACCAGCATCATCAGCATCATCAGCATCACCATTCTCATCATCAGCATCATCATCAGCATACTCGTCGTCATAATCATCATCACCATCATCATCATCATCATCATCATCATCACCAGCATCAGCATCAGCATCAGCATCATCATCATCATCATCGCAGTCATCGTCATCGCCAACGCCATTGCCATCACCATAGCAATAACCATTCCAAATCATGTTCCTCATCCTTCTCGTCCGCTATGACCCGTGGCCGCCCAGACCCTGTGGCTTCCCGTGATCAGCCATGCTCCCCAGATCTTCTGGGCGTTGGTTGGAGAAGTGGTTTCGCTAATTGGAGCTCGCGTCCGTTAGGTGGCACGCGGGCCTCTGGGTTCAGTATGATTTTGATGTGGCTCGGGGGTCCCGCCAGGTCAGGCGCGCGGCAGCCAGCCAGTCTTCACCATCTTAGGGCTTCGTCGTCGCCTCTCCTCCCTTGTACGCCCGCGCAACTCCGTCTTTAGAGTGCGTGAGCGTCGATCAGCGTCTGGTAATCGATGAGATAGCGCCGATTGGCTTTGGTCAGCGTCAACTCTGCGTCGGTCAGCGTCGATTCGCAGGAGCCATCAAGATGGTATGGGAGGGTTCCATGAGTTGCCGCAGAAGCGTTGGAGGGGTCGCCGATGCCAGTCCACATTCCCTGGTGGCCCAAGCCGCCGCTGGGAGCAGAGCGGCGCCCCCAGAGGAGAACAGAGAGGAGGACGAGGACGAGGGAGAGGATGGGAGAGGAAGAGGACGAGGACAAGGACGAGGGAGAGGAGAGCAGGGAGGAGGACGAGGGAGAGGAGGGGGGAGGACGAGGGAGTGGCCACCGAACTTTTCCACGCGACAGGTCCATTCGGAACCGCCGCAGCCGCAGCGCCCGCCCCCGCTGGTCGACGACGCCCACGGCCATCGAGGCGCCCCACTTTTTTGTTCGCTCCCCACCCACCTCTTTCGCTCTCCCTCTTCCTCTCCTCCCCTCTCCTCTTCCCTCATCCTCCTCCATCCCACCCTCCTCCTCCCTGTGCTCCCTCCTTTTCCACCCTCCTCCTCCTCATCCTCTCATTTTGTATGCCGCCATCCTTCCATCCCACCCACCCTCCATTTACTTGCCCGCCCATTTCTGTCATATTCTTCCTCCGCCTTAGCTCTCCTCTCAAAAGTCAGCACCATCCTCCTCGCAGCCCCCACCCTCTCAGCCATACCATCTGCCCTCTCCCCCGCTCTCCGTGACAGCGAGGGAGAGGGCAGAGGAGGAGGAGGAGGAGCAGCAGCAGGAGGAGATGCCCTCTCTCCTCGGTTCCCCCCCGACTCTTCCTCGGCCATCCTCCCCCACGCCTCCCGGTGCCGGAGGGGGGGGCGCCAGGGCGAGGGCCCCTCTTTTGCACACCCACCGGCTCCACCGGGGGTGCCATGCCAGACGAGGGCGCGCGGCGCCCAGGCGATGGCTCTGCTCGGAAGGTGCACCGGCCTCCGCCCCCTGCGCCGAAGTTGCAAGTTCGGGTGCTGCTGGGAGTGCCCCTGGCCCGAGGTGCCCCCAGCCGTTCGCTCAGCGTGGGAGCCCCCGGGGCCCTCTGCGCCTCGTGAGGGGTGGGGTGCTCTGGAGGCCGCCTGGGTCACCCCGAGAATCCTGGGGGTTACCCTGGGCCAGAGGCACTTCCAGCAACGCCCGGCAAGGGTTGGATGCGAATGCCCCCCTGCGATGAGGTGAGAAGGCGAGGGCCTCTTGGCTGCTGCACGACTTTCTGGTGGGTGCGCTTCGCGCCCGGGCGAGAGAGCCCCGTTCTGAAGACGTTCCGCCGTCCGTGCTTGCAACGCCCGAGGGCGCTCAGGACAGAGCTGCGCGGCGCCCAAGCGAGAGCCCCAGATTGAAAGCGTACCGCCCTCCATCCTCGCAGCTGGTTGGCGTCGTCAAACCCCAGGACATCTGGCGGTGCGGCGGGGAGGAGTTGGATGTACGGAAAAAGGATGGACGAGGAGAAGGATGATATATATATAGAGAGAGAGAGTGAGAGAGAGAGAGACGGACGGACGGACGGACGGCCAGACAGGGAGAGAGAGAGAGAGAGAAACAAAAACAAAAAACAAAAACAACAAAAATCCAACATTTTCATCGGGGGGGCGTCCTGGGGCCTCTTGGGGGACTCTTAGGGGGACCCCCGGGACCGCCCTGGCGCCTCCTGGGGCCTCCTGGGGGCCTCCTGGGACGGAAGGCTCGGATATTCGGTTCGTGTTCCCTCTCCTGGGCCATGTTTGGAGCGTCTTGGGGCCCTCTTGGGCCGTCTTTGGCGCCTCTTGGGGCGCTCTTAGGCCGTCTTGTGGCCCTCTTGGAGGCCTCTGAGCCGTTTTGGGGTGATATTGTGGGCCGTGTTGGAGCGTCGGAAAGCCGAAAAGGCGAGAGCGCCAACATCGTGCAGCAATTTAGGCAAACTCACAGATGTTTGCCTCCTGGGGCCCTCCTGGGAGGCCTCTTGGAAGCTTCCTGAGGCGTCTTGAAAGCAACTTGGGCCATCTGGAGGCCATCCTGGGCGTCTTCGAGCGATCGTTCGGCGACTTGGGGCCCTCGTGGACCGTCTTGAGGGCCTCCTGGGCTGTCATGGAGCCTTGGAGAGCCCCAAGGAGGCGCCATGACCGCCCAGGGACCCCCTGGCAATAGGGACGACGTAGTGGGAAGTGTGGGAAGTGTGACCGGGGAGGTGTCACTTAGAATACTACAGGAAGCTTACCAGGCAGCCGTTGGCTTTCTTTCACGCTTCAAAGGGCCGCAGGCACTGTGGCGGACAAGTAGGAGGAGGAGGGTGAGGAGGAGGAGGAGGAGGAGGAGGAGGAGGAGGAGGAGGAGGAGGAGGAGGAGGAGGAGGAGGAGGAGGAGGAGGGAGGAGGAGGAGGAGGAGGCGGAGGAGGAGGAGGAGGAGGGACGCAGGCGAAGGAGGAGGAGGAAGAGGAGGAGGAGGAGGAGGAGGAGGAGGAGAGGAGGAGGAGGAGGAGGAGAAGGAGGCGGAGGGGGAGGGGGAGGGGGAGGGGGAGGGAGGGGGAGGGGAAGGGGGAGGGGAGGGGGAGGAGGGAGGAGGAGGATGATGAGGAGGAGGAGGAGGAGGAGGAGGAGGAGGAGGAGGAGGAGGTGCAGGAGGAGGAGGAGGAGGCGGAGGAGGAGAGGAGGAGGAGGAGGACGCAGGCGAAGGAGGAGGAGGAGGAGGAAGAGGAGGAGGAGGGAGGGGGAGGGGGAGGAGGAGGTGGAGGAGCAGGGACGCAGGCAAAGGATAAAGGAGGAGGAGGAGGAGGAGGAGGAGGAGGAGGTGGAGCAGCAGGAGGAGGAGGAGCAGGAGCAGAAGGAGGGGGAGGAAGAGGGAGGAGGAGGAGAAGGTGGAGGAGGAGGAGGAGGAGCAGCAGCAGCAGCAGGGACGCCGGCGAAGGAGAGAGAGAGAGAGAGAGAAAAAGGAGGAGGAGGAGGAGGAGGAGAAAAAGGGCAGGAGGAGAGGACAGGAGAAGAGGAGAGCAGAGGAGGAGAGGAGAGGAGGAGGAGAAGGAGAGGAGGAGAGGAGGAGGAGAGGAGAGGAGAGGAGAGGAGAGGAGAGGAGAGGCGGGGAGGGGAGGGGAGGGAGGGGAGGGGAGGGGAGGGGGGGGAGAGGAGAGGAGAGGAGAAGAGAGGAGAGGAGGAGAGGAGAGGAGGGAGAGGAGGAGAGGAGGAGAGGAGGAGAGGCGAGGAGAGGAGAGGAGGAGGGGAGCGGACGAGGAGAGGAGGGGAGAGGAGGAGAGGAGGGCAGAGGAGGAGCGTCAGGGAGAGGAATAATGGAGGGATAGAAGAGGAGAGAGAAGAAGAGAGGAGGAGATGAGAGGAACAAAGGCCAGTAGGAGAGGGGAGGAGAAAATGAGAGGAGAGGAGAGGACAGGAGGAGAGGACAGGAGGAGAGGACAGGAGGAGAGGACAGGAGGAGAGGACAGGAGGAGAGGACAGGAGGAGAGGACAGGAGGAGAGGAGAGCAGAGGACGAGGAGACGAGTGCCCGGAAGTCCAGGGAATCCGACAGGTGGAAACGCGGATTTTCGGAGTTCTGGATTCCCGGTCGGGACCCCAATCTGGAGTTCCGGGTTTCCGCGCCGCCCTTTTTGAGCGCGATCGTTTCTTTCTATTATCTTCCTCGTCCTTCTCCTCCTCCCCATCCTTCTCCCTCCTCCTCCTCCCTTTCTTCTCCTCCCTCCTCTTCATGTTTCTCCCTTCTCCTCCTCCTTCCTCCTCCTCCTTTTTATCCTCTTGCCGCCTCCCTACAGGCGTTCCGCGCTCGGGCTTGGGGCGGCCCGATCTCGCGAGACCCCAGTCGCCGCCAGCTCTACCCAGGGCGGCGGTGCAACCCAGACGGCAGAGCGGTGCCATAGCCGCTCGCGATCGCCCGCGTGGCACCGCAGGCTGCGAAGGCGGAAGGCCAGCGCGCGGGCCACCTTGCGCCTGAAGGGCGCCCGCCTGGCGCTGGCGGGGCACCACGGCGAGCACGTCGGGTGGCCCGTGGCCGCGGCCATGCCGCCGCATTCCGGCGCTGTTGACGGTGTTGCTGGTGCGCCTGAGGGCAGGAAGTGCTGCTGGGGCTTGAGGAACCGCACTAGAGGTGCCAAGGCTGTCGCCAGGAGGGGTTCTGGGCCAACCGCGTTATGTGTTTCTGCGGACGGGACGCCCCAGGTCATGCCGTGCGCAAGGCGAGGCAAGCGCACCAGGAGGCCATGGCCAAGCGCGGCTCTCCCGCCAGGGCGAAGTTGCAGCCCCGCCCGCCTGCTCAGCCGTTCAGCGTGGAAGTGGCGGGGGGGATGGCCCCAGGCTGTAGCGGCTGGAGGCGGGCATGGTCAACATCACGGCGGCGCTGAAGAAGCTCTCCACAGGCGGAAGTACCAGCGGAAGCACCCGTGGCGGCCGCGGCACCCTCGCCGCCGAGCCAGGTGCCTCCCAGACCATCGAGCCTGTCGTGGACCTTGCCGCAATGGAGCTCGACGGCAAGATCGCCAGTCTCGAGCAGACGATCCCCACATTGCGAAAAAGGTGGCGCCGACGTGGCTCAGCTCGACGCAGACCTGCTCAAGCTCGAGCAGCAGCGAGTCGCAGCCCGAGGACCGCAGGTTGAAGTCAGCTCCCTGGGCGCCAAGTTTGGCCACGCAAGGTCGATGCGCATACAGCTGCTGGCCGAGCTCAAGGACAAATAGAAAAACGTGCTCGAGGCCAAGAAGATGATCGAAGAGGCGGAGAAGGCGATGCTGGACCACGAGACCGTCATCCCCCAGACCACGGCCACCATCGCGGAACTGTAGGCCAGCCTAAGCCAGGCCATGCTGCGGACCATGCCATTGGCCGCCCCTGCACCGTCGCCCGAGATGGAGCGCGACGCCCAGCGCTTCCCGGCCATGGCACTTGATGCTGCCAACCTGGGTCTTGAAGTTGTGGGTATGGTCGCCAAACTTCTCGCCAAGCGCCTCACGTGGACTGCTGCCAAGCAGAAATACCGCACTGAAGCCGAGGAGGATGGCGAGCAGGTACCAACCCCACCGGACACAGACCTCGGAGACGGTGACTTCGAGGAGATCGCCAGGACGTGCAAGTCGGAAGACAGCAAGGTAGCCCTTGAGGACTTGTGCCAGCGCATGGGCATGCGAAAGAGACAGCGCCTTTAGCACAAGCAGCAACACGTTGAGCGTCGATGAGGTGACCTCTGAACGCAGCCCGTCCGCGGACGAGCAGCAGCTGTCCCGCCCCAGCTTTTCGACGGCCAACCTCGCCTCCTGGCCCGGGGCGCAGGACAGGGCATCCCCCCGTTCGTCCAGGACCAGATCCTCTTCGAGCAGGAGCACAAGTAGTCTCGTGGGTGACTTTTGGAGATACGGTGCACGTTCAGGAGATGGGGCTCGGCCACGGCTTTTGCCCCTGCGACCATCAAGAT